CCTGCCTGGACCCTCAGCTCCAGCTGAGAGCTCCTCATTGCTTCAGCCCCTGAGCAATCTGTGGAGAGAGAGCTCAGGAGTTAGTCCTTTGCTTCTCACACGCACACACACAAGAAGGAAAAGAAAATAAATAAATAAATAAATAAATAAAGCAAGTGGCTCTTTTTTTTTTTTTTTTTTTTTTTTTTTAAGCTAAAACCAGCCCTTTGAGGGATGGTAGGATTATTCTGTGACCAGTTAATGAAGTCATGATGGGGCCCAAAGCCACTTGGCCCATAGCCCCTCCAGCTCTGTTGTGAGTGCTGCCCCCGGAGCCGGGGCTGGGATGAACTTTGCTTTTGCTGGAAAGAAGCACAAAATGGTTTGGCAGAGGATGGGGGATGGCCATTTCCATGAGCACATCCCGGTCATCCTTCCCTCTGCTCTGCTGCTGTCCCCATGGTCCTTCACCACTCCCCTTGCGGGCTGTGATGGCAGCACACCGCACACCACAGAAGGGCAGGCTGGAAAACTGAAACCCTTTTTGAGGTTTGTGTGGACAAAAGCACCGTGAAGATGGCTGCAACACAAGAGAAGGACAACTGGAGCAGGGAATGGTGCCTTAGGCTCCCCGTGCTGCTGGGAGCAGGCACTCCGCACTGCCCACTCCAACCCTACCCCAGCCCAACCCTCACCCTAACGCTAAAACTCACCCTAACCCTCACCCTAACCCCCACCCTCCTCCTCGGCGCTCAGAACTACATGGGAACTTTCTACGCGCGCGCCCTCCGTCCACCAGGGGGCGCTGTGTGCGTGGTAGGGGGGCGCTCGTGCGCGGGGCGGGGCGATGGGCGGGGCGCGGACCGGACCCGCGCGGGACGGAGCGGCGGAGGGTGAGCGGCGGGGCCGCGCCGCGCCGGGAGGGCGGTGGAGCGCGGGGCGGCGCCGGGGGATGGCGGTGGTTGTGCAGTGCGGTGCGGGCTGGACCGGCCGTGGGGCTGCGGGGAGGAGAGCGGAGAGTGCGGGGCGGGTTGCTCAATCCACGGGCCGTTAGCAGCGGGGTTCCTCTTTGAGTGCGGCTTCTCCTTCGAACGGCGGCGGTGGGAGGTGGGGCTCAACGAGTGCCTAAGGATGCACGATGGAACGGCACGACATGGCACCGCACGGTTTAGCACGGCACGGCACGGCACGGCACCGCACGGTTTAGCACGGCACGGCATGGCTGTCACTTTGCTGGCCGGGAAGCTGCTACTGCGCTGTGCCCGTTGGAGCGATGGTAGTGACATCCCAGCACAGGTGCTGAGCTATTACTTCTCGCTCTCCCTGCAGTGAGAAGAATGAGCCCCGTGCCGGAGGAGCTCAGCCTGGTGCCCCTGCATCAGCACCCCGAGCTGCTGGAGGCCTGTGCCGAGCTGCTGGCCGAGGAGTGGGGCAAGAGCCGGGCGCTGCGGCTGCATGCTCTGCAGCGCTCCTCTGACGCCTTCCCCACCTGCCTGGCACTGCTGCGGGCACCAGCCCCTGCCGAGCCCGCCTGCCCCCGTTGCCTGGTGGGACACGTCCGGCTGTCGCGTGTGGCTGGGCAGCCTCATGGCCTCTTTGTGGAGAGCGTGGTGGTGGCACGGGCACTGCGGGGCAGAGGCTATGGGCGGCAGCTGATGGAGGCCACCGAGCGTTACGCCCGGACCCGCGGCTTCCGCTGCCTGCACCTCAGCACTCATGACAAGCAGCAGTTCTATGCCCACCTGGGCTTCGTCCCGGCTGAGCCGGTGCAGATCGTGCCCTTTCTCAGCCCTGCCATGCCTGCTGCGGCGCTGCGGGCCTTCACTGTACCTCCCAGCCCCGCTGCTACCGCCCCGGTGGTGCCTGCAGCCCCACAGCCCCCCCCGCCGCCTCCCGCTATCCCCCCCCCACCTCCTCTGCCACCCTCATTCCGAGCAGGGGGAGGCCCAGCTGAGGATGGTGGGCAGAGCCCACAGGAGAGCCCCCACCGTGATACCAGGGGGCTGCCCATCTTTTGGATGAAGAAGGACATCTGAGGTCGCTGGGTGCAGCTGGTGATTAAAAGCGAGCGCGGGCAGAGTGCCTGGTGCTGTTCTTCTGGGCCAGCTCCGATCCCCAGCCCTGGGGTTGAGGAGAATGGGGTCAAGGGAAAGGGTGGCCATGCCCCAGGCACAGACCTGGCTGCTGCTGTGAGAGGCTCCAGAATGGGAGTGGGAAGGTCAGGGAAGCGTCCGGCCCTGAGCAGGGATCAGTGCTGCCTTTGCTGTGTCATGTGGCCACCTAATCCCCAGCTGGCGGCGGGCACAGGGCAGCAGCACGCAGCCCTCCTCCCCTTACCCATGTGTGACGGGCCTGGGGCTCAACCCTGCCACCAAATGGGGACAAAGTGGCCACAGTGCCCCTGCTCAGAGCCGGGCTGGGAGGAGGGTCACTGAGGCACTGGGCAGGACGCGGCTCTGGGCTCTGCGGGATTTTGGGTGCCCACCCACTGCTCTCTCCCCACAGGCAGTGCCCCTGGGCATGGGGCCGGTGCTGGCGCTGTGGGCCTGGTTGGTGCTGGGGACCGCCGGCGGGGAGAGCTCTGTGCCCACGGCCCTGGCAGGCGGGCAGCCCTTCACCGTGCTCTGGAACATCCCCAGTGGCCGCTGCCAGCGCCGCTTCGGCATAGGGCTGCCCCTGGCCGACTACGGCATCGTGGAGAACCAGGGTGGCCGCTTTGCAGGGCAGAACATCACCATCTTCTACAAGAACAAGTTTGGGCTGTACCCCTACATCTCCCCGCAAGGTGTCCCGCACAACGGGGGCATCCCGCAGCGGGCACCGCTCCAGGCCCACCTGGCACAGGTTGCGGGCGACGTGCGGCTGCATCTGCGCCCCACGTTCAGCGGCCTGGCTGTGGTGGACTGGGAGGAGTGGCGGCCGCTGTGGGCCCAGAACTGGGGGCCGAAGCGCATCTACCAGCTGGCCTCGCAGCAATGGGCACAGAAGCGGGGCTGGGGGCGGCGGCAGGCCCGGCGGGCCTTTGAGCGGGCAGCGCGGGCGCTGATGGAGCAGACGCTGCTGCTGGGTCGCAGCCTGCGCCCGGCGGGACTCTGGGGCTTCTACCGCTTCCCCGACTGCTTCAATAGCAACTGGGCCAAGGTGGACAACTACACAGGGCGCTGCCAGCCGGCCGAAGTGCGGCGCAACGACCGCCTGAGCTGGCTGTGGGCCGCCTCGGCCGCACTCTACCCCAGCATCTACCTGCCGCCGCTGCTGCCGCCCGGCCTGCGCCGTCGCTATGTGCACCACCGGCTGTGCGAGGCCCTGCGCCTGGCCGCCGGCCGCCTGCCCGTCGTGGCCTACTCACGGCTCTCCTACCGCCGCTCACCCCGCTTCCTGGAGCCGGTAAGGCCGGGGGATGGTGCTTGGTGTCCTGGCGTGTCCACCCGGCCACACGGCCCCCTGTCCTTGCAGGCTGACCTGGAGCACACCATCGGGGAGAGTGCGGCACTGGGGACGGCCGGACTGGTGCTGTGGGGCGACATGTCGTACTCCCAGTCGGCTGTGAGTGTGGCCACCAGAGCCGGACACTGACAGGCTCAGCAGGTGCCTCGGGTTGCCCCGCACGGCCGCTCCTCATGGCTGCCTCCCCCCCAGGAGAGCTGCAGCAGCCTTCGCCACTACCTCGTGTCCACCTTGGGGCCATACGTGGCCAATGTGACAGCAGCCGCACGAGCGTGCAGCTTGGAGCAGTGCCACGGTCATGGGCGCTGTGTGCGGCGGCAGCCCCAGGAGCTGAGCATCCTGCTGCACCTGGGTGTGGGCTCCTGGGCACCCTTCCGCTGCCACTGCTACCACGGCTGGGCTGGCCAGGACTGCATGCAGCCAGAGCTGCAGAGCCCCGCCGCCTGCCCCGCGCCCACCCATGGCCTCTACGGGCACCACAGCCCCCAGACCCCTGACACCTGCCCACGGCGCAGCAGCTGGGGCTGGTGAGCAGAGCTGGGGGCTGCTGTGCCAGCACCGGTTTGTCCCGTCTCATTAATTTAAATAAACCATCCTGCTGCAGCTACATGGTCCTCATGGGCAAAGCTGGGGGGAGGTTTGAGGTCAGGTACACAAGGAACCTCTGCTATGGCTTAGGAGGGAACAGATCCCTGCCTCAGTTTCCCTATCTCAGGTGTGCCCCGTGCCCATGGAAGGGTGCATGAAGGGCCCTGAGCTCTGCCCTCCCTCCGCCACGTTGGCACCATGCTGCCTGCGGCTGCTGGGCCCCCCTCTCCATGGCTATTTTTATCCCCCCAAACACATTTCATCCTGTCCTATTTTAAGCTGAGCAGTTGGCGCACCAGGAGCCCAGTGCCCAGTTCCTGGGGGCCCCAGATTGCCTGGCTGCCCAGGGGAGCGGGGCCGGGGACATGCCCAGGGAGGCTGCAGAAGGTAGGCTGGCAGCAGCAAGGGGTGTGGGTCCCTGGCACCCGGGGCAGCTGTGCCACTGGGGCTGCTCAATGGCAATGGCCAAATGCTGCCCACCCCACAGGGATGCCAGCCCAGGGAGGGAAGGGGTGCGGAGCGCTGCGGGACGGAGGGGACAGCAGCTGGCACAGCATAGCAGGCTGCAGAGGGGCAGGCGGTGGGGGCAGCCTGCAGTGAGGGGTTTGGCCCACAATGCCTGCAGGGTGCATTGGGGGGCCTGGGAGCCCCTAACCCTAAAGGGTGCTGACCTGGTGCACACTGGCCTCTTGGAGCCCTGTGGCCCCAGCACAGCACCAGCCTGACCCTGGGTGCGGGCACAAGGCCATCAGCCCTGCCCACTGTTCACAACCGTGCAAACGCCATGAAAACATCCCCTCGCTCTGCCCTAGCTGCTTCCTGAAACTGAGCAGGCTGGAGCCCTGCATGCTGCTCTCCCCATCCTCTGGGCATATAGCACCGCAGCACAGGGCAGCCTCTGGGCCAGCATGGGACCCACTCCTCCCTCTGTGCACCCCGAGCTCTCCAGCGCAGTGCCGTGGATACTGCCACCACAGGTGACAGCCAGGGGCTGCTTGCACCCACAGGCTCGAGGTGGTCCCAGATATTCTGGGGCAGGAGCACTTTCCCACCCTGTGTGACTGCCAGCTGCACTAACAAGGCTCTGGGAGTGCAGCCACAAGGCTCCTGCTAACTGCTTTGATGACAGCGAGTGGCGGCTGGGGGATGGCCAGCACTGGTCTGGCCCCACTTTGCAAGCAGCAGTCCTGTGCACTAGGTTGACACCAGGGCAGGCATTGCTCCTGGAAGTGGTCATTGTGGCTGGGGGCCTCCGGTCACCTCAGGGGTACCTGAGATGCATTCACCCCTTTCCTTGCTCCCCACAGACGGTGTGGGAAGAGCAGAGGGCACCGTGCCAGCAGAGCCCGCTGACTCCGATGGAATGGACCCCGGAGCCATCAGCCTGCACCCCGTGGCATCCATTAGTGACCTGCATTGGGCCTCGGCTGGGCACAAGGGCACAGAAGGTGACAAGAACAGGGCGAGGGGCTGTGGAACAGGGGGCTGAGGGCAGGCGCTGATCCCCTTCTCCCTGCCACTGCAGGAAATGGCCCGACTCCATCCAGCACCCGGCTGCACCGTGAGCCCTGCAGTCCCCCACACCTGCCCACGCTGCGCCCCGTGCCGCCTCCCACCACCTGCCCCTGCCCCGGGCACCCCTTCTTCCTCGCCCTGCTGGGCTTCCTGGCTCTGGCCAGCCTGGTCCTGGCCACGCTGGCCATCTACCTGAGCGGTACGTGGCTGTGGGCAGGGTGGTGGGAGGTGGCAGTGTCTGAGGGCAGCCGACAGCCGGTCCTCACCACACTCCATGCTCTCCACAGTGCTGCAGAGCCAGTCGGTGCAGGCGCTGGCCCAGTGGCTGGAAAGCCAGGAGGACGCCATGCGCCAGCTGCGGGCGGCCAGCAGGCAGCTCTGGGCTCACCTAAATGCCAGCGACCAGCGCCGCTGAGCCGCCCCACGGAGCAGCCCCGTATGGATCGCCCCATCCCCGGGACGCACAGGGGCAACCCTGGCCTCGCCAAGCACTGCCGGAGAAAGGGAAGGGCTGCGAGGATGGGCACCCGCCCCAGCAGGAGGCACCCTCCCATCACTTTATCATTACCTCCTGCCATTGAGGCTTAGGAAGTCTCCACCACGACCACGTTCCCAGGTGCCTGCTGCTGCTCCCCCAGCACACGGCGGTGCCAGGATGGCCCTGGGAGGCACAGAGCACCGAGGTCGGCCCTGTGGACTGTGCCACGTTTGGGCAGCCAGGGGCCATAGCAGATAGCTGGCATGGCACAGAGTGCGATGGCACCCTTTGCCTCTCCTGTTATCCTACTTTTGGTTAAAAAAATAAAAACGAGGGGGCAGCCCCCAGTGAGGCAGCCCCAGGCATTAAATACTCCGCTGTACATATGTGCTGTTGGTAGACAATGTTCTTAGCTGGGCACAAGGCAGCTCTGTCTTGATGGCATGAGTCCTCCTGCCAAGTCCTCCTTCCTGTCCCCATCCTCGTTCCCATCCTTGTCCCATCTCTAACTCCATTCCTGTCCCCTTCAATGACTCATCCCTGCCCCATCCCTGTTGTACCCACATTTACCCCCAGCTCTGGCACTGTCCCTGTTCTGTCTCTGTCCCCATTCCTGTCTGCACTCTGTGCCCAGCTCCATCCTATTCCTGCCCATTTCTGTCCCCATCCCACAGTGCCTCATCCCTGCCCCACCCCTGTCCCACCCATGTACCCATCCCCATGTCCAGCTGTGTCCCCAACTCCATCCCACCCCTACCCCATCCCCAGCTCCATCCATGCCCCATCTCTGTACCCCTATTTCTCAGCTCTGTCCCCAACCATTCCACTTCTGTCCCCATTCCTGTCCCTATCCCATTTCTGTCCCCATCTCAATTTCTATTCTGTCTCCATCTGTTTCATTTTCGTTCATGTTCCCATCCCATTGTTGTCTCCATCCCTGTCCCCATTTTTGTCCCCATCCCCATCCTTGTTACACTTTTGTCCCCATCCCTGTCCCGTCTCTGTCTCCATCCCTGTCCCATCTCTGTCCCCATCCCTTTCCCCATCCCTTTCCCCATTCCTATCCCCATCCCTGTCCCCTTCCCGCACCCCCCACCCGTCGCTGTCGCTGTTGCTTTTCCCCGCCCATTCCCCGCACTTTCGTTTCCAGCGGCCGCTCTCGGCATCAGAACCGAAACTGACGCAGAACCGAAACCGGCTCCAGAACCGAAACCGAAAGGGCGGCCGCCGAGTCACCGTCCCTGCGGTCCCAGCGGGGCTGCGGGGACACGTTCGGTGCCCCGTGCCGGCTGCGGGGTGACCGCATCTCGGAGTCCTGGGAGATGGGGACCATCGTCCCCAAAGCGGCGGCAGCGCGAGGAGCTCCCCGGGCTGCCATGGGGAAATAGCGGGGGGAGGGCGAGAAAGGGGAGGGGCCGAGGGGCGGGACCACCCGGCTGGGGGCGGAGGCCGCAGGGTTTAAAGCTGCGCGGGCGGCGTCGGAGCGCAGTGAAGCGGTAGGGAGCTGAGCGTGAGGTTGGCGATGGGGCTGGAGAACGTGAGCCAGAGCCAGCTGGACGGATGGGTGGCCGCCCACCTGCAGCCCAGCCCGGAATTCAGCGCGGCGGTGAAGCAGACGGTGAAGGACATCTGCGACTTCCTCAAGGAGCGCTGCTTCGAGGGCATCAGAGTCCTCAAGACCGTCAAGGTGCCCGCAGCCCCCCGCCGCCCTACACCTCGGGTGGGCGTCGGGGGCTGGGGGCTGAGCCGGTGCCGTGTCCCCGCAGGGCGGCTCGGCGGGGAAGGGCACGGCGCTGCGCAACAACTCGGATGCCGACGTGGTGCTCTTCGTCAACTGCTTCTCCAGCTACCAGGAGCAGGAGGAGCAGCGGCGCCACATCCTCACCATCATCGAGAGGCGGCTCTATGAGTGCCCACCGGCGTCGTCCAATATCAAAATTGGCACTCCGTGCTACAAGGACAGCCGGGACAGACCGCGCTCCCTCAGCCTCACCCTCTCCTCCAACACCTCCGGCGAGTCCATCGACGTCGACATCCTGCCTGCCTACGATGTGCTGGGTAGGACAGGGCATGGGGTGGGATGGGGGGCTCAGGGTGGGGGGCATATGCTGGGCTGTGGGGTGAAGGATGGGGCTCGAGGTGCCTCTCACCCTACAGGGCAGGTGATTGAGGATACCCGCCCGAACCCCGAGGTCTATGTGAAGCTGTTGGCCACGCGCTGTGGCCCCGGCGATTTCTCCCCCAGCTTCACAGAACTGCAGAAGAACTTTGTGAAGTGGCGCCCCGCTAAGCTGAAGGACCTGCTGCGCCTGGTCAAGCACTGGTACAAGCAGGTGAGTGGGGGTTACTTGGCTGCTCTGTGCCCTCACAGGCACCTCAGGGCACCCTGCCCCACCAGCTGCCCATTTGTGTGCCCCCAGGTGCTGAAGCCTCGGTACCCCAACGCTAAGCTGCCCCCCAAGTATGCACTGGAGCTGCTAACCATCTATGCCTGGGAGGAAGGCTCAGACAGGGAGGACTTCAGCATGGCCGAGGGCTTCTGCACTGTGCTGGAGCTGCTTGGCCGGCACCAGGACATCTGTATTTACTGGGAGAAGTACTATTCCCTGCAGGATGAGCAGATCGGTGCCTACCTGAAGAAGCAGCTGTGCCAGCCCCGGTAAGGAGCGTGTCCTCATCCTACTGCTCTGCTCCCGGGGCTGTGCCCTGATGGCAGGGCCCTCTCTTTGTCTGCAGGCCTGTCATCCTGGATCCTGCTGACCCCACTGGCATCCTGGGCCAAGACAAGAGCTGGGACTTGGTGGCCCAGGAGGCTGCCCGGAGCCGTTGGTCACTGCCCTGCATCAATACTGCCTGCTCCTGGAATGTGCAGGTAGGGCTGCCCACACAGCAGCACCGTGGTCCCGCCTATTCCCCTATGGCTATAACCCACCTACCATGTGTCCCCACAGCCTGCCCGATCTGTGATGGTGCAAGTGAAGCAGCTGCATGGCATCAGCCTGAGCAGGAAGGTCAGACCCAGCACCAAAGTCTGGGAGCTGAAGGGAGAGATAGAGAAGGAGTGGGGCATCCCTCGCTACCAGCAGCGCCTGGCCCTGCAGCAGAACTCCAGCAACTGCCCCAGTGTGCTGCAGGATGGGGACAGCCTGGCCACCCACGGCCTCTTCTACGACATCACGTTGCTGCTGCTGCACACGGAGCCCCAGGAGATGGATGTCCTGGTGAAGGACAGCAACAACAAGACCACAGTCTACACCGTACGGCCCACCGACACCGTGCGGCAGCTGAAGCAGCAGATCTGTGCACGGCAGGGTCTGTCTGTGGAGCAGCAGCGTCTGACCTATGAGACCAAGGAGCTGGAGAACCACCACAAGCTGGAGCACTATGGCGTGCAGCCCCGCAGCACCATCTACCTGCTGCTGCGGCTACGGGGTGGGGGGGGACCTCGGCCCCGATGGTTTGTGCCAGCCTGAGCTACCCTAACCCCCAGCCTGCAGCCCTGCCTCATCCCCCTGGGAATAAAACCTGTGAAACATTCTCGTGCTGCTGGGGGTGTGGGGTGGGACGGGGGCGTCTGAACACCAGGGAGCAGGGAGACAGCGGATGTCCCCCGCTCTGGGATGCTATTGCCTTGGGGCAAAGAAACAGTTCCTGTGGAATCCCCCGCGGTCCAGTAAGGGGGGGGGCAGCAATGGGACAGAGGGCGGAACCCGGTCCCTGTGCCAGCTGGGGGTGATGATGCCATTGTGGGGGGCCCAGTGCTGTGCCCGCAGCGCCAGGACCCGGGCTGGGTGCGGGGCTGGGCTGGCGTCATCGCCAGGGCTGAGCTGAGCCGGGGAACTGCTGAGCTCGGGTTTCGGTTTTGCAGGAAACGAAAGTGTAGCTGAGGGGCGGGGAGAAGCGCCCGGCATCCTACAGGATGGGGGGGGGGGGGGGGGGGGAACGCTCCGGGCTGGGCACACACCGCTGGGCCGGGCCCCGTGCTGCCTCCTCTGTTTTATTGAGCTCCATCAGTACAGCCCCAGGGGGACGGCCCCCTCCCACCCGAGCCCACCCCCGCCCGAGCCCCGGGACCCCTTCGCTGTGCGGGGCCGCCCCCCACCATTCCCAGCCGTCAATAAATACACCGCCCCCCCGCCCCGCGCCTCCAGCCGAACCGGGGGGGCCGCTCCCGGCCCGCTGCGCGCAGCCCCGGGGGGGCTTCACCGGGCAGAGGCGCTGCGGGGCCCGCGCTCGGCTCTCGGCCCGCCCCGGGTACGGCGGCGTCGGGCGGCCCGCGACTCCGCACCGCGCTCCGACTCCGTCCCGCCCCGCCGCCGCGCGGGGGGCCCGGCCGGGGCGGGAGGGGGGGGCCGCAACCGCCCGCAGGCCGCCTCGGGCCGCTCGAGCAGCTGCAGGAAGTCCCGGTACCAGGGAGCGCGGCCCCCGGGGGCGGCGGCGGCGCCGAGGACGCCCAGCGCCAGGCGCAGCACGGGCTGCGTGAAGCCCTGCTCGGTGGCCCGGCACACGTAGAGCCCGGCGTCGTGCCGCTGCACGCTGCGCAGGAGCAGCCCCCGCTCCGTCCGCACCACCCGCTCGTCCGGCTGCACCTGCGGCCGGGTAGGCGGTCAGGGTACGGGGATGGGAGCGATCCCCCGCCCCGCTGCGCGGCCCCTACCTCGCGCTGGGGAGCGTCGGGACCGCGCTGGTACGTCCACGAGACGCGGGCGCGCAGCGAGCGGGGCACGCACTCCAGGAAAGCGCTGCTGCCCTCCACCCCGTACAGCTGCCGCTGGGGCACGCGGCCCTGAGATGGCTCTGCGGGACGAGACCCCGCGTCCGTCGTCGCCCCGCTGCGGGCGCGGCATCCGCGCCCCACTGCCCCACGCACCTTCGGAGCACAGCAGGTTGGGATCCCCGTTGCGGACGTCCTGCCGGCGGGAGCGCCTGCGGAGAGGCGTGGGCTGAGCTGCACGGCGCGCTCTCGTCCCCGGGGTGCGGGGTCCCAGCACGACGTACCTCTTGGTGCTGGGCACGAAGCGGGTGCAGGCGGTGCCGTCCCAGGCGCAGTACGGGTCCCGTGCCAGGCAGCACTCGGCGCACGCCTTGCCATAGGCGCCGCAGCGGTGCAGAGGCAGCTGGGCCACGGCGGTGGCTGAGCCGGCGTAGAGCTGTTGCTGCAGGGAGAGGAGGCTCAGCACCCCTGCGATGGGGCCCGTGAGTCCGGCAGGGCTCAGCCCCTTCCTCCTTACCCGCTTGGAGGAGAGCTGCAGGCTGGTGATGGGGGACGCGTCCTGCAGGAGAGCAAGGGCAGCAGTTATAGACGGGGCACAGGAGGTGTGCAGCCCCCAGCACAGGGACCCACCTGGAAGACCTGCAGCTCCTCCAGCAGCAGCGGCTCCATGCCGTGCCAGCTCTGCTGTGGTGCCGAGACCACCTTCAGCACAGTGCCCACATCTGCAGGGAGGATGGTGAGTGGGGGGCCTAGGGATAGCTCCAGCCCTCAGCCCCTGAGCGAGGGTGCCACGTGCCTGTGCCAATGAAGAGGACGTCGTAGTGGCCATCGGCGGCAGCCACGCGGTCGACAGCGATGCGGGTGAAGGTGTGGGGCACGCCAGCTTGCAGGAAGAGGGGCCGCTGGCCATGGGGCAGCACCGGGTTGTACATCAGTGGGTGGTGCCGGGCAAACTGGATCACCTCATCCGGGAAGTCCTTGGTGGAGCTGAAGGTGCCGAAGGTTCTGCTGGGGCACTGCGGGAGGCAGAGCTGGATCAGCAGGGTTTCTATATCCCCCAGCAGCCCAAGCCACACCACGTACCATGCCCGGGCGGGGGTACGGCACGCGTGCCTGGTAAGGCACCCACTGGTAGTTGGGGCCCTCCTTGTGCGCAAAGGGGCCCAGGAACGCCCGGCGGATGTCGGCCATGGTGTAGACACAGACGGCCGAGCCCTGGAAGATGGAGCTGGGGAGAGAAATGGGGCATGAGGATCAGCACGTGGCACACACAGAGCGCACGACGGCCGTTACCTGGAGGTGGAGAAGGTGGCAT